CCCTTCTCCTTCCTACGGACTCCCTCCGTGCTCTCTTTCACCACCCCGCCTTTTTTGAGTACCACCCTCCAGCCTAAAGGCAAACCACATACCCATCCCTGGGTCAGAAGCAGAGGCAGCAGCGTCAAGGCAACGCTGCCACTGACTTTCAGCCAGCGCTGGCTCAGAGCCCGCTGCCGGCACACGGACGCTGCAAGCACACAGCCCTACACGTCGGGAGCGCAAACACCGCTGCAGCATGCACACCGCGACACCGTATCGGATAGAAACTGCAATCTAATACATACGCCTTCCAGTAAATTTGCAGGTGCCGTCCGGGCGCCAGTCAAATCGTGTATGAGAAACTCCGTCCAGTCCATGTATTTCTCTTTGATTGCTGGGCAGGGGGAGGAAAGGAAAGGAAAGAAAAGAAATGCTTAGCACAGCAGACTGCAATGGACTTGCCACATGCATTTTAAGAAACATCTCCTCAGGGTTTAACAACTCTAAAGTTTCAGATACAATTGCATTCCAGACCAGGAGAAAACCTGCTATTTTGTCCAGTTCCTTGGGCAACCCACGCACACGGTTACATCCCAAAATAAGGGAAGGTGTTGCTCCACTGTAGCCATTGACAGTGATTTACAACAGCGTGGCTTATCATCTCCATCTCTCCTATTCAAAACTGGCCACCGCTTGTGTAACCACTTGTTTCCTGCTTACCACGTAAGCTCAGATATGATTTATAAAGCTTCTTTGTATGTTCGCTAACGACCTCAGAGGAAAAAAAGCTGTGCAAACTTTCAGTTCCTCAACAGGACAAGAAAAACTCCAGGTGCTCTTCCCCCCCCAAAGCTGAAAATCAACCCTGAGAATATCGTATGTCAGCTGGCAAGTCAATACACTTTCAAGAAGAAAGACTTAACAAATTTATCAGGAACATCTATTTAATGTCAAAAAAATGTTTGAATAATTTCTGAGCTAAGCACTGTAAGCTTGTGTTACTTTAGGGATCCGTATCCACATAGTTTCATAAGATTCAACCTGAAAAGTATAAATATTGCCTCTGGGATTCAAATTCTGGTTCAATTCTTGTTGAAATCAGTAAAAGTTGAGCACCAAAAGGCAGTTCAGCAAATCTCAGCTTCAGAGATTCAGATGCCTCTTCAAGCGCCTCGTGCATTTGCAATCAGAAACCCAGAAACCAGACAATTCCACCTGCCTGTAAATGGGAATTAAATTACATCAGAAACATTTTTCTCTCCCAAAAAACTTTACTTATATCTTAGACAGCCAACAACAATATAGTTGTGTTGCTAACACAGCAACACCTACAGAAGGGAAAAATCACAAGCATTTGAAAATTAAAACATTTCCTCTGAACAAACAACTGTATACACAGTTTAAAGACCATTACCCCACAGGGGAGGCCAGGAAGGGCTGTAATTAACCAGTGTACATCCGAAATAATTAAATGATAGCTGCCCTCATGTTTTCCTCAAAGGAAGCAGAGTCCTTTGCTCCACACTTTAGGGAAACACCACAGTAGTCAACCAAGAGCAATCCAGTCTGAAGCTCTTTGCACTTTCACACAGATCAGGGTGGGATTTCTAAATATTTTAAAAGCTCGGTGACTGTGACTTCTCAGCCCTTCCCACAGATGGGTGTCAGCTACCATAATGCCTCGACAATGCAGAACCTGAGCTGTGGGACCTTTGAGAAGGTGCCAGCTCAGTGGTTAGAGCTGGAGGACTTCAGACTGCAAATGCAAACAGCAATGTGAGCATAAATATTGCCACCGTTACCTCCAGACAAGGAGACCAAACCTCAGCCTTCTCAAAATGCAATCTCAAGCCATGTGCTGCCCAACACTGAATTAAAGAAATGCAAAGAGGGAGCACTGGGTTTGCCCAAGGACAGTTACATCACATTGTCACAAAACATGCTCGTGGTTGGGCTGGCTTCCCGCGTGGGTGCTTGGCATACTTGGGCTCTGGCCCATAGTCAGTTTATACCCTAAATCCCTTACGCAATCCATACAGTTGGCCACAGACAAAGACAGAAGCCATTCCCAGCAGACCGTACACCAGACCTCATTTCTGAGTTGTGCTCCTTCCCCAAAAGCCAGTTCTCCCAGTGTCACTTGAACTATATATTCAGTTTAGAGATCTAAATTCCTTTCAATGTGTATTTAAATGCATGTAAAATTAGCAAACTTTAAAGTGCTGGACTTGAGCCTCTATAAAATAAAACCTAAGCTAGCCTGGAACTGCTCTAAGTCTTTTGCAGCACTGATTTTACATGATTTCCAGGAGATGTATGACCTTTACATTATTTAACATGAAGGAACAGCCTGAGAAGAAATGGGTTATACATGGCACTTTCTCTCTCAACATTCCTGTTGCGTACACCTCATCAGTTCCTGTCCATCTACATTAGGATAAAGAAAACAAGCTTAATTTTGGCATCAGCGAGCAGATAGTAATTGCCGTAATGAATGAGGCTGGAGTCCTTCTACTTCAGACTTCTGCCTCTCGCTGTGAACAGCACTGGGTGCATCAGAGAAAGGTGCAAGTTGAACTTCATTTTGGCTCATACCCACAAAGTTGTCAGCCAAATTTTGAATGCCAGAGCTTCATTACTAAGGAATGACAAATGTGATAAAAAGAACATGGTTCGAACGTTCAAAGCTGGCAGGAGTGGGGGGAATAGGATTTTCAAAGTTGACAACAGATTTCAGGGGCCTCCATTTCCAGATGCCCAATTTGAGATGTCTTAACAGTGCCCAATTCACAGATCTTGCTGTCTGACAGTCTGTCCCCCTTCTAATGTCTCTCAAAAAAAAAATCTCTTGTCCTTTTTAAAAGATTTGCACCTCACAACTTTTTGACACCTAAATAAGACGGGGCCGCTCCCCACATTCAAATCTGGATTATAGGCTTCCAAAGTCCGAAAGAGCCAAGGTGACCTTTATTTTCAGACTAAACAGACTCAGTTGAAAAAAGAAGTTACTCCCAGTTTCTGAGTAGTTTCAGAGCCATCCTCCCCAAACAAATCTAGTATCTTTGCTTTATTTTATTCTTCTTTTGTGGTATAGATAAAGGGACTCTGAAAACCTCTGAGAGAGAACAGATTGCACTGGAAGTTTTAGGAACAGGGATTCTCCTGTGCCTATAGGGCGCAGTCAGCCTTCTCAGTACTAGACCTCAAGTCATTACAATGCAAATATTAATTTTTAGTACTAATGAAGTGAATCTGAATCATCACGGTATCTGCAAAAGCCTTCAAGGACCAAGCAAAATGTTAAACAAGAATATTTAAACAAAGGAAAATCCACTGGGTAAATGAGAATAGCTGGCAGTGTAATGCATGGGTGCCCAACCTCAGCACTCATCTCAAGAAATGCTGGTGCTTCTCCGGTGTATCAGACTCAGCACCTGTGAATTGAAGCACTGATTGTCAATCACTAATTCACATTTTCGCTTGTTAGCTACAGGAAAAGACCCAACCGAATGTCTCCCACTGCAGACAAGCTGGAAGAACTGTGCTTTTAGAGCCCATCTTCAGCTGGCTGGCCAGCGGTGGGATGGGAAGGTGGACAGGACAAAGGATCCTGTTCCATGGGGACCTAAGCTCCACTAGCACTGCTACTTTCAAAACAATTTTTCCTTCCTTAAATAACTTCAGTGAGTCAGGAGTGGTCCATGGGGCTCAGATATCCATGTTTTCTCTACCTTTCTATGGATCTATCTTCCCAGAAGACCTCTGTGAACTTCCCCCACCCAGAACCCGTCAAGCCGAATACACCTCCAGGACCTCAGCTAACATCTGTGTGCCGTGGGAGGCAGGGGAAACACACCAGAAATAAAGCAAAAGACACCTCCCCAGCAAATCCTTTCAAAGAGAACCATTTCATGCAGGGAGGTAGGCCATCCTACAAAAGCCAGAAGCCACAGAGGACAAAATGTGTTGTCCTTCAAACCTTCAGATGGAAGGACTCTGACGAGCCCCCTCCAACCACAAAGCGTGATGGGCACAAGCAGTAATTTACAAGCGCACGATTAATGCCACCCTAATTCATGTCACCCTGGCTCTCACTGAGCTGCACAGACTCAAAAGGTAGTAAGAAATCTTCATAGTAAGAAAGTCCCTGGTACTTCTGCCTGGATGGCATAGGAGGAAACATCCCTCACTCTTTGCAAGCCAGGGAACTGACAAAACTGGGAAGATGACTTTTACCAATGCATAAAACCCTCTCCAAGCAGGGGTAAGTACTGAAAGCTACCTGTCACTTTGCACACCCACCCCTCCCTCACCAGGCACAGCTCATCTGTGAAGGTGGCACCTTGGAAAGGGACCATCACCCACACCACAACGGGGCTCCAAATAGGCCCAATGACAAGAAAGCATTTGAGATTATTCTGGTTTCCTTGAAGCTATTTGGGAAACTATATCCTAAGCAGTGATGGCTTGCTTGACCAAGTCAACAGTAATGTAATCACACTGACTGGTCCTCTAGAGCATGAGGCTTTGATACTCTATGAGGACACAGCTTGGCCAAGAGTCCCGCTATTGCTATGAGTAACAGACCCATCTTAGTGCCAGCCCCGTGGTCCTGCACAGGGTCACTGTGCATAGAAGTGACCAATATGGGACTGTGCAATGGTCTGAGACCCTGGGGGCCAACAGCCATCAAATTTATCATAGCGAGAGGAAACGATTCAAGAGAAGCAGACGTGAGAGCTGAAAAAAAGACTCAGTTTAGTGATCTCACTGATGCAAAGGCTGAGCTGAACTGAACGATTAAACACTAGATAATCCAGAGAGAAGACCGGTATTAGCAACACTCTCACCATGGAAAAAGCATTGGTCAGAGCTTGCACTGTATCAGACACAGTACTGCCCAAACACAAGGCACGCATCGCATAAAGAGATGCTCCCAAAATGCCAATGCTCTTGTAACTACTTTTCTTTCCAGGTTTAGCAGGCGACACCGCAGCCCCGTTTGGAGTCGCAGCTTGTGTACACAGATGTGCCTGTTTCCTTTGGACTGGGTTCAGTTCATCTTGGAGCCAGTGTGGGTGGTTGTTTTCACACCTCTGCAGCTCCAAGGCCAAAGGCTTTAAGGCGTCTTCGTGCCATAAAAATGCCACAGAACCACCTGCCTTAGAGCAAAGCAGCCCAAAACAGAGGCCAGATCTGCACGTTGCTGGGCCAAGGTGTAACCCATAGCAGAGCCAATGGCTCTGCTCCAGATTCCATTCATGCAGGACTAAATGCATGGAGGAAGAAAATCCATCTGGATCCAGACCACCACAAAAAGACCTGAGAAAAAGACTCACATTTCTCTCCCCAGTTCCTGAGGAGCAGTTGTAGTGGTGCATCAACTCAGCACTG